TCTCAAGCCCCCTTGCCAACGTGAGCTGATTCATTCTGGAAATGCTGCATTGGCCCTACGGGTGCCTGGCCTGAGTGGGTACCCAGGGGTTCAGGCAGTCGAGGAATCAGCTGGGATGTGCCCCACAGCGGAAGCCCGGCCCGGCAGGGAGTTAGCGCATGGACCGAACTAAGACACGAGGGGTGTGTGCCTCGGGCCCCGAGACGGGCAGACGTGCTGCCCCCGAGAGGGCTAGGGTCAGGGTTCCTTCCCTCTGCGAGGACCAGCCGAGAGGAGGAGTGGTGGGAGGCCAGCCCTGCCTGTCCTGGAGCTTCGCGGGCCAAGGGGTGGGCCCGCCTAGACGCCTGCCTCCATGCGAAGGAGCTTGCTCAGACGGACAAACCTGGCGGTCCCAGCGGCAGGGGGGCGGGGGGGGGGGGCTTGTCCCCAGGGGCACGTGTGCCCCCAGGGCTGGGGTTCCTGCTTGCTGGGTGGGCCGCGAGGGCTCCGGCAGCAAACCACAGCCCACCGTCCCCCAGAGGTGCCACCACTGCCAGGGCCTGCAGGAAGCTGACCACACCTGCGCCCTCAACCCTGCAGGTCAGCGTGGGAAACGCTGCCACGCCTTCCCAAGCCCCGAGGCTGGCTTGGTCTTGGGTCTGAGCAGGGGCTGCAGCGGCTTCCCTGCTGAGCTCCAGGCCTGCAAAGCCCTCCCCCGAGGCTCGGCCAGGGCTGGGCAGTCCCAGGCCACAGACCTTCTCCCCAGCCGCCGGCCCTCTTCCTGATTCCTGAGCTCCCCCTTAGGGGGCCCGGGGGCCTCTGGGCTGGGGGCCCCCTCTTGCTGAAACACCCGAGGCTCCCACACAGGGATGTCAGGGCCCCTCACGCTCAGGCCCCCTCACGTGCTGTGTCGGGGGCCGTCTCACCGTGTCGGGGTGCCCTTGGGCTCCTTCCTCCAGACCCTGCGGTGTCCCCTCAGACACCTGGACTTCATGATAATGAGGGCCTGGTGAAGCCACAGCAGCCTCATTTCTGGCAGCGGGGGAAGAACTTAGGCAACTGTAGGCCGAGGGCGAGCTGTGTACGGGCAAGCATCACCCCAGTAACCAAGGGTAACGGAGGGGTGTTACTGTGGTCGGGGCACAGGCCAGCCATCAGAGGTTGGGGAGGCCAGTGAGGGCAAGGCACATGGTGGCCCGAGATGTCTCAGGCGGGCAGAATCCAGGCTCCAAGGGCCCAGGGCTGGGCCCAGAGAGAGCGTGCCCTGAGCCCTTGGGCAGCTGGAGCCCAGGCCGGGACAGAGGGAGAGAGCTGCCCGCCGCGGCTGTGGTCCCTGGTTGCTGGCTCAGCCTGGGAGTCTATTTCCTCATCCGCCTCCCTCCTCCTTCCATCTTCATGGACTGGCTCCCATCCTCACGGGTCTGTGCTCCCTGGGCTACGAGCCTTCAGCTTTCCCTGTGAGGTGCAGAGCAGCAGACAAGGTCATGGTCAGCCCAGCATCGGGTTGACGGTCCTCCCAGCTTGGAGCCTCCAAGGGTCCGCAGACCCGCCAGGTGCCGGATTCCTCCTGCCTCCTGCCAGTGCCTGGAGGGCAGGGCCTCAGTCCTTGGCTGCACCAGGCATGGCAGGAGGCCTGGGACAGGAACCTCACCAGGGTTACCGTGAAAATCGGCCCCCAAGCTGACGCTGGCCAGAGGTTCCTCCCCTAACCCGCAGAGGAGGGACGAAGCCCAGGGGCGTTTGCTCTGCTGCCTTCATTCACCCCAGGCTCTGGGGTCCACAAGCCCTGGAGCGGAGTGGCGCCCACGCCTGCTGCAAGTCCCTGCTCCCGACCCTGGGGAGACTCAGCAAATGGGAGGGACAGTGCTGTCCCCTTTCCTGGAACTTGCATCCTGGGGTGGAAGAAAGTTGACACAGAAGAAGGAATGTAGGAGCAACAGTCCAGCAACTTGGACTGTTCCACAGGGATGTGGCATTGTGCGAGACAGAGGGGTGGCAACCTTCTGGGAAGGGACATTTGAGCGGAGAGTGGAATTTGAGAAGGACCCAGCCACACGGACGGACGGAGATGTGGGCGAGGGCGTTCGAGGGGGGGGACGTCAGAGCAGAGGCCCCAGTGGGCACGGGCTTAGCATGTTCAAGGAACATAACGGGGGCCAGTGTGTCTGGGGCAAGTGGGTGACAGAGCCAGGCAGGGAATGAGGTGGGAGGAGCGGGCAGGGGTCCTGACGGCCTGGAAAACAGGGACAAGGAGACAGAGGCCGGACTGTGTTCTAAACGCGGTGTGGAGCCTCTGGCGAGAGGGGCCCTGGATTTAGCTCTGAAATGAACGAAGCAGCATCTCCACCTCCTTGACCCCAAACGAGATCACAGACAGCAGTCAGGGGTGGGCATTGGGAAGGCTGAGGGGCTGCGTGTACACCCTGAGGCCTCGCCGAAGGAGAGGGGCCACCTCGCTGTCCGAGTGGGTCAGAGGGGGGCCTTTGGGGGCCCACGCCTGCTCTGGGGTGTCAGGACACAGAGGGAGTATCCACGGGTGCACGCCGGCACTGCACTCGGATCTGTGGGGGTCTGTTCTGGACCAGCTGTTCAGCCATTTGGATGTCACCTCTGATGTATCTGCTTATTGGGCAAATAGGAAGGAAGGGGGGAAGGGAAATCAGGCTGATCTGCTGACAAGAGAGATTCACGGAGGAGGGAGGGAAGAGAGTTTGGACGGATGGATCGATGGATTCATGGATCCATGGATGGTTAAATGATTGGATGTGTGGATGGATGGATGGGTGGCTAGGAGGTTAGATGGATGGACAGATAGGCAGGTGGGAAGATGGGTGGCTGGCTAGCTGGATGGATGGATGGAAAAGAGGGAGGGAAGGTGGGAGGGAGGATGGTGTATATGAGCAGATGGTGGGGCTCACAGACTAACGAGTCCCGCTGGCCGCTGGTGGTTAGCTGTGCTGGGGGAGAAGAAAGGCAGCCAGTGACCTCTGTGCCCTCCCCACCCTGCCCTGGTAGAGCCGGGGTGCATGGCCAGATGGGGGAGCTGAGATCTGTGGGCAGGAGCCCCTCTCCGTGCCCCAAGTTTGCAAGACTCAACCCCTAAGAGACATGCAGCTCCAGGTGAGGAAGGCCTACCTGTGTCATCCCTCATCACGCGTCCTGGGGCCTCCAGGGCAGGAGCAGGTCTGACTCACCTTGGGTGCCAGCCAGGTGCTTGGACGATCTCAGCTACATGAGTAAGACGGCGGCGGGCCTCCTCTCGGGTGCTGGCTCCCTGGCCTGAGGCACATCTGGGCAGTCAGTGAGTGAGCACTGAGACTGCGAGCAAGGGCTGGGCCTCCAGACTCCCGCCCTCTCCTCCCCCACAGTGGGTTTGCTAGAAGCTAAGCGGAGCTGGCGGGGGGGGGGGGGGGGGGGGGGGACTCGGGCCAGGACTGAGGATCAACCTACTTGACTCGAGCACAGCCGCTGCCAATTAATAACTGTGCGACCTGGGGCCCCAAATCCCAACCTCCCTGAAACCAGGTTCCCCCTCTGTGAAATGGCAGAGGTAACAAGCTTAGCCGGGTGACACGGTAGTGATTAGGAAGGGTGGGGCCCCTGGGCCCACTGCAGCCTTGGAGCAGCCCCACTCTGACCCCTGGGCAGGGAACACAGAGGAGTTTCCGGGGCTGCCGCCCTGCCCACTCCTGAAGCCCTGCCCGGGTCCACTCGCCCACCTGTCACAGCAGGAAAGGCTCTGTGTTTCTGCTGCCCCGCCCAGGAAGGCCCAGGGCCAGGGGAGAAAGCGGACACTTCGTCCTGGGCTTGGCAGGAGGCCACCGGCCCACCCGGGAGGCGGCAGGAGGCACCCCTGGGCCTTTAGAAATCGGTCACTGGGCCTTTATGCAGCACGTCCTCAGGGAGTGGAAAGAACCCAGGATTCCGAGCCAGAGTTCCTGCTCTGCCAACATCTACCAGGCCGTGACCACAAGGCTAGGCCATCAGCTCTTGGAGCCATGATTTTCTCATCCATAAAATGGGCTGACGTCGGTGGCGGGGTGCCGTCCACTGGGAACTGCTTGCCCCAGCCCCACTCGGGGCGGGGCTGCAAGGGGGCAGGAGACAGAGGGAGCTGCCTCTTTCCTAACCTGGGCAGACCGGGGCAGTGGCAGGGCTTGGGAGGGCACGGCAGGCACCTGAAGGACTGGCCGTCGGGCTCCCCCGGGGGCCGCTGCTTCTGTTGGGACCGGACACTGGTTTGGGCAGTGCTGTGGAGCAGGAAGGTGATGTCTTGGGCGGAGCGTGGATTCGGGTGCACCTCACCGTAAGCACGCCTGCACTTCCTCTCCGAGTTAAGGCGCTTTGGGTGCAGGTATCAGAAACCCAGCAGGGAGCTGAAGCCCGGGAGGGCAGGAGGCGGGGTCTCGAGGCGTCCTTAGGTGGGATGGGCAGGCCAGGTTCAGGGACGGCCCCAGCCTCATGCCAGCTCCCCCGAGGACTCTGTGGCCGCCTGTCTGGCCCGCCTGCGTCCCCCTCTCTGGGCAGCTCTTGGCCCCCTCCCCTGCGTGCACCAGTTGCTGTCTTCCCACCACGGAGCTCCATCCCCTAGCGGGGGAAGTCTGGTGGCCCGGCATGGGTCAGGGGCCCACCTCAGCTCCACTTCACCGTGTCCAAGGTCCTACAGAGCCGACTTAGTGCCGGGCCTGGGGGGCAGGGGGTCCTGCCCCAGCTGTGACAGCCAAACTTCCAGCGGGGCCGGTCCGGGCCTGGCTTCTGCCATGGGCCCTGGAAAGCCTGAGCTTGGCCGTGCAGCCTTCCCTGGGTGACCCGCAGGCCCCTCGGGCCCTCGTCCCATTTCTGAGACGTCCCCTGAGTGGGGACCTGACTGTAAGACACGGTGGCCCCGGCCACTCGGCCCTGGCTCTCTGGCGGGTCTCTGGTCCCCTTGCCAGGGCGGGTGGAGGATGCCCCCTCCAGGCCCCAGGCTGCCCCAGCCTCGGCGTGAGGCGTGACCAGTACTCTCCCCTCCTTCCTTCCAGAAGCCCCCCAGCGCCCACGCCATGAAGGAGGAGGCCTTTCTGCGACGACGCTTCTCACTGTGTCCACCCTCCTCCACCCCTCAGAAAGTCGACTCCCGGAAACTCAGCCGCAACCTGCTCTTGGGTGGAGAGAATGAGCTCGACCCTCTGGGTCCAGGTCAGCGTCCACATGGGAACCCGGTCACCTGGCACGTGGGCCACGGGTGGGGACAGCTGCCGAGCCTAGGCCCTCCTCAGCTTCGAAGCCCAGCTGTGTGGCCTCAGGCAGGTCCCTTTCCCTCTCTGTGCTGTCCGGGTTGGAGAGGGAGGGCGTCGGCCTTGCTGTGCTCACACCCCAGCCCCTGGTGCCTCCCGGTCAGGATGGCTCTCCCCTAGTCATTGCTTCTCCACTTCCTGCAAGGACCTGGCAATAAACCACCAGCCACAGGGAGCGGGCAGGAGTGGCTCGTCAGGCGGCCTCAGGCCTCCTCTGAGACCATGGCCTCTTCTTCCTGGCCGTGAACCTGAGCTTTAGAAACCCGCTTCAAAACAAACGGAGCTATATGGAATCTAAAAAAAAAAAATGGTTCTGAAGAACCTAGGGGCAGGACAGGAATAAAGATGCAGATGTAAAGAATGGACTTGAGGACACGGGGAGGGGGAAGGGTAAGCTGGGACAAAGTGAGAGAGTGGCATGGACATAGATACACTACCAAATGTAAAATAGATAGCTAGTGGGAAGCAGCCTCATGGCACAGGGAGAGCAGCTCAGTGCTTTGTGACCACCTAGAGGGGTGGGATAGGGAGGGTGGGAGGGAGACGCAAAGAGGGAGGAGATATGGGGATGTATGTATACGTATAGCTGATTCACTTTGTTATACAGCAGAAATTAACACACCATTGTAAAGCAATTATACTCCAATAACGATGTTTAAAAAAAAAAAACGGAGCCGGGCACGGGCAGCCGCTCCCCCCAGGGTCAAATCCAGACACCTCACACCCCACTGCCTCCCCTCAAGCGAGCTGGAGAGGAAGCGTGCTGGGAGGGGCCCGGGGACAGTGTCTGGCCACCCCCCTCGGAGAGCCCAGCACTGGAGAGCAATGGAATTCCAGCCAGCGGATTTGGGGCGTGGGGGGAAGCCAGGCGAGGTCTGGGTACCCTGAACTGAAAACAGGGCTCCTGTCTTACAGACCCCAGAGGGTGTGCCACACCAGCGCCCAGGGCACCCGGGCTTCTCCCAGCGGTGACACCCCCTCATGACGCTGGCTGGTGCTCATTAGCTCTCTGGTCCCACAGCCACCGCCTGGGCTGGCTTCCTGCCCCGCCCAGGCCACCCGTGCGGTGCCCGTGCCTCGCCTGCCACACACTGGGCAGCGGCGGAGGGGCTGCCCGGCAGCCATGCCCCGGTCCTCATGCTGGCCACTCTCTTGCAGGGAAGGACATGGAGCCCAACAGCCCATCGCCACCCAGAGATGAAGGGCCCCCGACCCCAGGCTCTGCCACGAAGGTGCCACCGGTAGGAGCCTGGCTGTGGGAGGACCCAAGGCAGGGAGCCTGCCCTGGGGACGATGGGAAGTGGCTGGAGGGAGGGGACAGCAGGGCTGACGGCCGAACCCACCATTGCCAGCCCTTGGCTTTGAATCAGGGAGGCTGCTGGAGCTGGGGACGGAGTCACAGAGCTTGTGAGTTGTTTATCAAAGCCACCTTCTTGAGTAACACAGGTCGGGGATGCAGGGTCCGGAGGAGGCTGGGGCTGCCAGGGGGCCTCAGGGACAGAAAATCATGGTAAAAGGAGGCCCCGGGCTCTTCTGTCATAGGGAACCCACCCAGGTGTGAGCGCATCCTCCCTCTGCCTGTGTCTGTGCTGCGCCCTCCACCCGTGCACCCTCTTCAGGGCAACACCAAGTTCAGGGAAAGGGCACGCGCACACACAGATACACACACAGATACACACACACACAAATGCACATACAGACACACACACACACACAAATGCACATACAGACAGATACACACACAGATATACACACACACAAAAATGCACATACACACAGATACACATACACAGATACACACATAGATACACAAATGCACATATAGACACACACAGATGTACACACACACACAAATGCACATACAGGCACACACAGACATACACACACAGATACACATACACACATAGATACACACACAAATGCACATACAGACACAGAGATATAGATACACACACAGATACACACAGAGGCACACACACATACACACACAGTTACACACACACAGATGCATACAGCCGCACACACACAGATACACAAACATACACACACAGATATACACACAGATGCACACACATATACACACGCATAACACACACATACACAGAGATGCACATACACAGAGATGCACACATATATGCACAGATATACACACACAGATGCACACACAGATACACACACACACACACACACACACACACACACACACCACGTGCTCCCCAGCCCAGCGCCTCTCAGCTGGGGCCCAGCCGTGCACCTCCAGGCAGAAGCTGTGGTCCAGGGAGGGTGTGGGGCCCCAGGTACAGGTGCCAGGTTGTAGACACGCCCTTCCTTCCCCCAAGGGCCTCAGGCCAGGGGAACCACGGCCCCCGGATTGGAGGCCCCAGTTCTGGCGGTGCGGCTGGGGGGCTGGAGGCACATAGAGGCCAGTTCTCCCCACCCTGGCTGCCCCGTGAGACCCAGAGTGACAACTGCCTGCTCCTCTGGGACCCCACGCCCTCCTCTGTCCAACAAGGAGTGTGTGGCGGTCCTCCCTGTGTCCACTTCCGGCATGGAAGAAACCGGACCTTTCGTGGGTCCCCCCTCAGCCAGCGCTTCCCCGCCTCGGTCCCCAAGGCTGCCGGCTGCTGGGAGTGCAGTTGGAGCGCCTGCATTTGTGTGTGTGGAATTTTTTTAATTAAAAATTTTTTTTAGATTACAGTAAAATACACATAACAAAATGTACCATCCTAACCATTTTTAAGTCTACGGTTTAAGTACATTCACATTATTATGTCACCATCACCACCATCCACCCCGAGAACTTTTTCATCTTATAAAACTGACAGTCTGTCCCCATTAAACACTCACATCCCACCCCTTCCCCAGCTCTGGGCCCCGCCGTCCTACTTTCTGTCTCTATCAATGTGACTCCTCTAGGGACCTCCCGTGAGTGGATCGCACAGTATTTGTCCTTTTGTGTCTGGCTTATTTCACTTACTATAATGTCCTCATGTTCATCCAGGTTGTAGCTGGGTCAGAATTTTCTTCCTTTTTAAGGCTGAATAATATTCCACTGTGTGGCTGGACCATACTTTGTTTATTCAGTCATCTGTCTACGGACACATATCTTTTTTTAAGACACAGATTTATTTCATGAAAACATGGTTCTTCCTTCTACAAACCAATAAAACATTAAACCCAATAAAACCACATCAAATGTTATCAGGAACACTTGGTTCAAATTTCAGATTTCACCCATTCAGAAATGATGTCTGGGCATCCTCTCTGGGCAAGGCCCACACCGCTATAGGTGCTGGGGATGGAGTCGTTGGTAAAACAAAGTCCCTCTCTCCTGGAGCTTATGTTCTAGAGGGAAGACAGGCAGCAGACAAAACAAGTAAGGTCTAGAACATGTCAGAGGCTGAGGGAGGAAAGAAAGGACAGCTCTGGACACCCCCAGGTTCTTTTCTTTTTTAACAATTTATTTTAATTAATTAATTTATTTACTTATTTTTGGCTGCGTTGGGTCTTCGTTGCTGTGCGCGGGCTTTCTCTAGTTGCGGCGAGCGGCGGCTCCTCTTCGCTGCGGTGCGCGGGCTTCTCACTGCGGTGGCTTCTCTTGTCATGGAGCACAGGCTCTAGGCCCGCGGGCTTCTGTAGTTGTGGCACGCAGGCTCAGTAGTTGTGGCACACGGGCTTAGTTGCTCCGCGGCATGTGGGATCTTCCCAGACCAGGGCTCGAACCTGTGTCCCCTGCACTGGCAGGCGGATTCTTAACCACTGCGCCACCAGGGAAGCCCACCCCCCAGACTCTTAAGAGTGACTTGAGACTGTTCTAAAAGGCACAGCTTGGGGAAAGATACAAACTCTAATATATATATGATAAATATAAAGTATTTAATATATTAATATTAGATATCATACACAATATAATATAGCATGATACAGTATAATATCACGTATAGTAACATATCAGATATGTAACATACGAGCAGTTCTTTATGTATATACACACACATATGTGTATATATATTATACAGTTTTTCCATGAGATAAAATTCAAACAACACAGAATTAACCATTTTTGGTGAACAGTTCAGTGACACTTAGTGCGTTCACAGTATTGTACAACCGTCACCGCTGTCTAGTTTCCATGACCCCAAACAGACACCCTCTCAGCAGCCATCCCTGCAGCCAACACTGTGCTTTCCCTCTCTACGGATTTGCCTCTTCTGGACATTTCATATAAACGGAGCCATGCGATGTGTGGGGTTTTGTGCCGGGCTTCTCTCCCTGAGCCCCATCCAGGCTGTGGCAGGTGTCAGTGCCCCTGGATGGATGGACCACAGGCGGCTCGTCCACTCGTCAGTGGGAGGACATTTGGACCGTTTCCACTTTTCCGCTGTTGGGAACAGAGCTGCTACGAACATGCGTGTACAAGTATCCCAGTACCTGTTTTCAGTTCTTTGGGCTTATATCTCAGAGTGGAATTGCTGGGCCATCATGGTAACTCTGTGGCAAGATGGAATTCTAGAAAGTTCTATAGTTGACTTTTGGGGGAAGTGCCGAAATGTTTTCCACAGTGGCTGCCCGTTTTACTTTACAGCCCCACTGGCGAAGAATAAGGGTTCCCGTTTCTCACCTCCTCAACAACACTTGTTTCTGTTCTTTTTTAAACCCAGTAGGTGTGAAGTGATGTCTCACTGTGTTTGTTTGTTTGTTTGTTTGTTTTGCGGTACGCGGGCCTCTCACTGCTGTGGCCTCTCCCGTTGCGGAGCACAGGCTCCGGACGCGCAGGCTCAGTGGCCATGGCTCACGGGCCCAGCCGCTCCGCGGCATGTGGGATCTACCCGGACTGGGGCACAAACCCGCGTCCCCTGCATCGGCAGGCGGACTCTTAACCACTGCGCCACCAGGGAAGCTCCCTAAATCACTTTATTAAAGGAATTTTTAGGTTTTTGGTCAGACTCCCGCGTTCATGGTTCTGAGCAGCGTGTCTCACTCCTGGGGGTGCTGCGTTATCGCCCCACTGTGCCTTGAGGTTCAGTGGCCCTCGGGAACGAGCAGGGGGGTCTGGTGGGCCTTGGCGGGGTCCCCAGCATGGCTCTAGGATGGAGGAGTAGGGGCACTGTCTGCAGTGACCCGGCCCGGTGGGGCTTGGAGGGCCCAGGAGCAGAGGGTTGCAGGGCACAGACGCCCCATCCCGTCCACCCCCCAGCCCCGCTGTCCCCAATCGCACCTCTCTCTTCCTCTGTTGCCCCCAACAAGCTCCTTTCAGCCGCATCTGGTGGAAAGCTGGGCGGCAGGGAATTGGCAGAGGGTTCGTTCACTCATTCATTCATTCATCCATTCATCCAAGATGCTCACCGAGCTCCCAGCTGCTGGTGCCAAGGGGATGCTGGGATGAAGCCAAGCCCAGTGGAGCTCTCGACAGTAAGCAGAAACGTCTGTGTGGCTGTAATTGCAGGACATGCTCAGCCAGCCAGGGGTGGCTGGTGTCATCAGGGCCTGATGCCAGCAGGGTGGGCAGAGCCGTCTTCCTCCCGGGGAAGCAGCTCAGCGGGGCCTGAGGAAGGAGCAGGGGTTGCTCAGCAACAGGGAAGAGCATTCAGGCTGGGGGAACAGCATGTGCTAAGGAAGCTGGGGGCACCAGGCATAAGAATCCCAGCTCCCCGGGAGCTGGAGGATCAGCCCGGCCCCCAGAGGCCTGTCACTCAGCTCCTTCTCATCACTCCTGCTTCAACACAGAGGATGCTTCTAGAGCAGAGTCCCCCAGGCGCCTCATCCCATGTCCCTGTCTTCCTGGGATCCCTGCCCGAGTTCAGCCCCAGCTCGGCCCCTCGCGAGCTGTGTGACCTCTGCCAGGTTCTGAACCTCTCTGTGCCACAGCCTCCTCACCTGCAGGGCGTGGGTAGTAAGAATGCCTGAAGCTGCGCTGGTTCCCGTGCACACATGTGCTCTCCAACCCCCTCTCTCACCCTCTGTTCCCTGGGGGCGGCCTGTCCCTCTGTTCTAACCCCAGCACCCGAGGCCATGCCTGGCACGCAGTGCCGTGGGGACGGCCAGTCCCCGGGACAGTTCCGGCCTCAGCCCTGCCCCTGGCTCTGCAGCCTCGGGGGTCATTGCACCTCTCTGTGCCTCAGTTTCCTCATCCATCGGATGGGGGTAGTAACTGGGCCCGCCTCCTGGGTGGTCGTGAGAAGTAGGTGAGCAAAGGCAGTAAAGACCTGAGAGGACCTGGCAACGGCGGAGCGGTCAAGAGCATTGCCAAGGCTGCTCACCTCGCGCAGGGAGGGAGCTGAGGGCCGTTGGCCTCTGGTCCTCCGGGCCTCCCTCCCTTGCCTGGAGGCTCGGGGTGGAGGCACTCAGCCCAGAGGACGAGCAGGGCAGGCAAATTTCTGCAAAGGACCAGAAAGGGAACGTTTTAAGCTCGGCAGCCACACGAGCTCCATCGCAAGAACTTGCCGTGGCCGTTAGAGCCAGTGCAGCCACGACAGCAGGCCAACGATGGGCGCGTCCGGTGGCCACGGTCACCTGATTGGTGGATGCGGAAATCTGAATTTCATCATTTTCACATCTCACGTTGATTTTTTTCCCCCCATCCCCTTAAAAATGTAAAACCCGGGACTTCCCTGGCGGTCCAGTGGTTAGGACTGTGGGCTTCCACTGCAGGGGGCGTGGGTTCAATCCCCGGTCCGGGAACTAAGATCCCGCAAGCCGCGCAGCATGGCCAAAAAAAACCCAAACAAACTGTAAACCCCATTCTGGGCTCGCAAGCTCCAGAGAAGCAGGCCCATAGCCTTTAGTCTTGGCTTTTTCTCCCCACTCCCCCACCCCGGCTGCCATTTCCCCGTCTGTTAAAGGACCGAGGCCCCATCCGCTCCCAGGTCCCTGGATGCAGCTGCCTGGTGGGCGTGGCCAGCTGCACCTCCTCCCTGCAAGCGTCGGGAGAGGGCCTGGGTGTTGCCCCACCCAGCACCTGCTGTCAGGGCACTAGGGATGGGGGTCCCCACTGCATACGTGCGCCCTCCCTGACCAGAGGCTGGGCGCCAGGTGATGGCTAAGATGGACGCCTCCTGGGCACCACGGGGAGGGTCATTGCCATGTGCCCAGTGCAGGCCCCCAGGGAGGTGGCCCCTGGTCCACGCCCCCGGTGACCCACCCCAGCTCGTGTTCACGTGCCCACCTCCTGAGGCCTGTTCACCCCCTCCCCCGGGGCAGGGAGGGGGAGGGACGCCTTTCTCCCACCTCCTGCTTCCTGCGCCCCGGCACCACCCCTCACCTCCGCACACCTGTCCTCTTCTACCCTCCCTCCAGCAACCTGAGTCTCTCTTGCAGGCAGAATACAGGCTGTGCAATGGGTCCGACAGGGAATGTGTATCCCCGACAGCCAAGGTCACCAAGAAGGAAGCTCTCAAGGTGGGCCCAGGCCTGGGGAAGGGGCACGGTGTGTCGTTTGTTGGATGAATGGGCACCCCAGCCAGTGAGGCCACACCTCCACCCCAGCCTGCCAAAGGGAGGGGGACAGACTGCACCCTGGCCACCTCCACACCCCCTCTTCCTGTCCTCTCCCTGCCCCCCTCTTCGTCCCCTGGCTAGACGGTGGAGGCCCTCGCGAGTAGAAGGTCCCCCGGGAGGGCCAGCCCAGGGCCTTCTCCCCTGACCCACCTGCGGGTGCCCTGGGCCCAGGCACAGAAGGAGAGCTACCGCCAGGAGAAGAAGCGCGCCACCAAGCAGTTGCTCAGCGCCTTGACAGACCCCAGCGTAGTCATCATGGCCGACAGCCTGAAGGTGAGCGCGTGTGTGTTTCAGCACTGGCCAGGCTCCCTCAGGAGGCCTCCCCCAGGGACAGTGCAGGGTCACTAGCCACTCGGGAGACGGTTAGGCATGCTGGCTGCTGCAAACTGTGTGTGTCCTGGGGCTGCCCTGACAAATGACCACAAGCTGGTGGCTTATGACAACCAAAGATGATTCCCAGGTCCAGAGGCCAAAGTCCAAACTCAAGGTCCTGGCAGGGCCAGGCTCCTTCCCGAGTCTCTAAAGGAGGGTTCTTCCTGCCTCTCCCAGCTTCTGAGGGCCCCAGGCATCACTGGACTTGTGGCCGCGTCCCTCCAGCCTCTGCCTCTCTGGTCACCTGGCCTCCTCCTGTGTCTGTGTCCTCTTCTCCTCTTATAAGGACACGGTCGTTGGACCAGGGCCCACCCTGCTCCAATGCAGCCTCATCTTCACTTGGTCGCATCTGCAGAAACCCTATTTCTAATTAAGGTGGGGGGCCCTGACCTGCTGGCGGGGGTCCCAGAGTGCCCATAGAGCCCCCTGCTGGGATACAGGAGGGAGGTGAAACTCGGACTTTGGGAGAAAGGACCGGGGTTGTGTTCAGACCTCACTGAGGCAGCGAGAGAGTCCCTCAGCTCCCAAGCTTCGGTTTCCCCCTCCGTACAGAGGGGGTAAAGCTGCCGAATCCCGGGGCTGCCACGAGGGGCAGAGGAGACAAGGGGACCAGGGAGCCTGGGCTTCTACAGAGCCCTGGGCCCGCGTGGCTCCTTTTCTCTGATCCACAAAATTACGAATAAAAAAATTCAGTACAAAAGTGAATATTTAGGATGAGAAAAGAAATGATCACAGGTTTCAACATCACAAAGCTGACCATTGCAACAGTCACATCCGATTCCCAGCTCCCCCCAGGGCCCTGGCAGGGCCTTGAACTTGAGCTCCATGGACTTCACCAGTAAATCTGGCTACAGCATCCTCCTTTGGATTCACCATCATTCAGAGTTCCTGTTAAATCCTAAAAGAGAACTCTGCCCGGAGCCCAAAGCCCTGTGTATCTGCCCCTCCCCCAGCCGTCCAGATGCCCCTGGGTCCCGGGCGGGCATGGACGGCAGCGCCCCTCCCCCCAGATCCGCGGGACCCTGAAGAGTTGGACCAAACTGTGGTGCGTGCTGAAGCCGGGGGTGCTGCTCATCTACAAGACGCCCAAGGTGGGCCAGTGGGTGGGCACGGTCCTGCTGCACTGCTGCGAGCTCATTGAGAGGCCCTCTAAGAAGGACGGCTTCTGCTTCAAGCTCTTCCACCCACTGGACCAGTCCGTCTGGGCCGTGAAGGTACCGCGGTGCGAGCCCTGGGGCTTGGGAGGGCCAGGCAAGGAGAGAGCCCCCGGGGGCAGGTGGCTGTGTGGGAGGAGAGCACAGATGGGCAGTCAGAAGGCTCATCCTGGGGCCCCAGTGGCACGGAGTCCAGAAATGGGCTGACAGTTCCAAGGGTTAAGTCACTCAGTGGCCAGGGGATCAGATGTGGTCACTGGAGGTTGGGGGCGCTCAGGGCCTGGGGGCCCCATGAGATGAGATCACACCTCGAGCCGTGTCCAGAGGCTGAGGAACGCGGCCATGTGAGGGCAGCTGCTCTGAACCCAGACCTCACCCTCATAACCTGGGGGCTGCCCAGCCCAGGACCAAAGGGGGTCAGGTTGCCAAGTGAAATCCTGAATGCCCAGTTAAATTTGGATTTCAGGGGAAGATCAGAAAGTTTTTTTAGGGACTTTCCTGGTGGTCCAGTGGTAAAGAATCCGCCTTCCAATGCAGGGGACGCGGGTTCAATCCCTGGTCGGGGAACTAAGATCCCCCATGCCGCAGGGCAACCAAGCCCGTGCGCCACAACTACTGAGCTCACGTGCCTCAATTAGAGAGCCCCCATGCCGCAAACTACAGAGCCCACGCGCCCTGGAGCCTGCGCGCCACAACTAGAGACGAGAAAACCCGCATGCCACAACTAGAGAGAAGCCCGCGCGCTGCAATGAAAGATCCCGCGTGCCTCAACGAAGATCGTGCCTGCCACAACTAAGACCCGACGCAACCAAAAATAAATTAAAATAAATAAATCTTTTTTTAAAAAAAGTTTTTTTAGGATAAGTATGTCCCAAAAAGAAATGAAATTGAGTTATTTGTAGTGAGGTGGATGGACCTAGAGACTGTCGTACAGAGTGAAGTAAGTCAGAAAGAGAAAAACAAATACCGTATGCTAACACATATATATGGAATCTAAAAAAAAAAACAAAACTATGTCCCAAATATTTCATGGGGTATACTTATACTGTGTATGTAATTCTTCTGAGATTCAGATTTAACTGGGTGTCCTGGATCTGCACATGCTGGTTCTGGCCACCCTAGAGTGGGAGGGCTCAGAGCTGGAAAGCCAAGGGTGGGACCACCAGCTAAGAAGGGGGACCGAGCACCCCGGCCGTTCACCTCTCCTGCCGCCTGCCACATCTGCGTGGTCAGGTGCCTGACCCTGCCTAGGGGTCCTGAGGCCCCGGAAGCGCCCACGCGTGTCTGGGTGTGGGTCCACATGACCGCACCACCTGTGTTTCCACCCCTCCCCGGCCCACCCCTTGGGTGACGCCAGGTCTCTGCCTCTCCAGGGCCCCAAAGGTGAGAGCGTGGGCTCCATCACACAGCCCCTCCCGAGCAGCTACCTGATCTTCAGGGCCGCCTCCGAGTCAGACGGTGAGTACCTTCCTGCCCTGCTGGTCTCCACGGTGACCCCACCTGAAGCACCCCTCCCCTTGGCGGGATTTAGGCCGGGCGTATGGGACCCCGGTTCGGACCCCTTCACCGCCATCCAAGGAGGCAGCCTGGTGTCAGGGGATGAGCCCGCCGTTCACCAGCCCCCTCTCTGGAGCCTCAGTCTTCCCCGTGGGCAAAAGATGAACAGTAGCACTGTCTCCCCAGTTGCTATGCGAATCTGATGACCTTATTTAAAAGCAACCAGATAAGTTACTGGGTGCCAACCACGTGCCAGGCACCACTGAATCAGCAGGTGCTACTGTTACCATCCACGTTTGACACATGCGGAGACAGGTTGGGTGAACTGCAGGTGAGAAAGCGCTGGAGCCGGGACGAAGCCAGGTTCCCAAATCAGCGCACGTGTTTGGAGCGCCCTCTAGTGGCTTCCCCGAGTAAACGCGGCTGCCCACGCACACACACACACACACACACACGCGCGCGCGCACACACACACACACACACACACACACACACACACACACCCCGCCCCATCGCCGAGCCCTGAGGGCCGGCGCCTCCCGGGGATCTGGTGTAAGACTCCCACCCCACCAGCAGTTCAGGGCAGGCAAGGTCCTGCCCGAGGCAGCCTGGCCTGACCACTGGGCTCCGGCCCTCCGGGCTGGGAGTCTGGGGCAGGCGGCCGTCCCTAAGGTGCCATGCCACCCCCTGGTGGCCAGACGCTGCATCCACGCTCCAGGGGGCCGTCCTGAGTCCCTTGAATGCCGCCCTCATTTCCCCAGCCCCCCACTCGGTGCCAGGCCCCTCGTGGGCCCTGGGATGGGCAGGGCAGCTAGTGCTGCCATGGAGCCTGCAATCTAGTGCGAGAGAACACCAGCAAACCAGCAGACGAGGCCAACTGGGCTGAAGCATGAGCTGAGTCCCTGATGGGGTCGGGGGCCATGGTCAGGAAGGAGGGGCATCCACAGCCCCTGTGGGTATCAGGGTGGGCTTCCTGGAGGAGGAGGAGGAATGGGCTCGAAGGACGCGTGCTATTCAGGATGTCTAGTCCCTTGTGGCAACCACAAAAAACGCACGTCAGGGCCCCAGGCCCCACTCAGCAGGTGTGGGTTTCCCAGCTCTCGCCTGCGGGTTCTGCTCCCATGAGCGCCCCACCTTCCACCACCATGACCTTTCAGCCCTGGCTGAAAGTTGGAAGGTTGGTATCCAGCCAAGCCTGCAGTGAAACCCCCCTGCAGGATGCCGGGTGTCCTCCTGATAACCAGGAGCCACCCTCCCTGCAAGCCCCTCCTCCGCGATCCCCAGCGCGCCCCTCCCAACGCCAGGCCCCGGGATGCACCACAGAGAGTTAGGGAAGGAAATTCACTGTCTCCAAGAGGGAGACACTTTGAGGCTTTGGAGAAGGAAAGAACCGAGTTCAAGGTCCTTCAATCCCAGGTCCAGCCCGCGGGCGGCCTCTACCAGAAGGGCTGCAGGGGGCTGAGGATAAGGGCTGGGGGCTGGAGGCGCTGGCTCTGGCCACCCCACCCCGCCTCCCCGCCCGCCTGGCCCTCCCCTCCTCCCAGAGCTGTTCCAACACCAGGGACTGCCTGTCTGCGGCCTTGGCTCAGCAGCCCTTCCCCAGCCTGCCAGCCCCCCTCCTGCCCTGTGCTCCAGGCCAGGAAAGCCCTCAGCGCAGAGACCCCCTCCTGCCCCGACCCATGGGGGCCAGTTTCCATCAGGAAGGGCCCTCACCCTGACGCCATAGGTGGGAACTCGCAGGGCCTCTGGGTGCAGAGCGGCCTGAGCTTGCTACACGTATGACCTTGAGGGGGTCACTTACCCATCCTGGCCTTAGCCCTTGTCTGTGACGTGGGTGACTGACAGTGTGCTGGGAGTGGGGGGCTCCTTGTTTAGGAATGGAGGGATGGGGGCGGGCAGGCTCCCTGACAGAGGGGCAGGAAGCTCCCCAGTGCTCAGTGGGTGCCTCCGCAGCTGGGGGCTGCTCATCGCCCCTGACCGCCCCCCCCCCCCACAGGCCGCTGCTGGCTGGACGCTCTGGAGCTGGCACTGCGCTGCTCCAGCTTCCTGCGACTCAGCGCGTGCAGGCAGGGCCGCGACGGGGAGCCTGGGTCCTCGCCAGGCGCATCACCCTCTGCGCTCTGCGGGCTGCCCCCCTCGGCTGCCGTCCACGACCAGGACCTGTTCCCGTGAGCAGGGGCGTGGCGGGCAGGGACCAGCCTCTCCCGGGAGCCTGCTGGGGACTCCTGGGCCCGGGCTCTCCCTGGCATCACCGCACGGGGTCTCCTTGTACGTGGGGAGAAGATGGGGGGCAAACGCCGCCGAGGTCTGGCTGCCCAAACCCCAGGCCAGGAGGCAGGCCTCCTCCACTCGAGGTGGACCGGGGAGCCTCAGGGTGTTCGCCTGTGAACTGGGGCTTATAGTGTCAAATGCCCATCGCTGAGGCTTTTCAGCACAGGGATGGGGCTGAGGCGCCAGGCAGCGAGGGGTGCCCCGGGTGAGGGTACCGGGGGGTGTGCCCAGAGGTGGGCGTGCCAGGGCCTCACCTGTGACCAGCAACCCACGGGCGCCGTCCACCTTCCAGACTGAACGGGTCCTCCTTGGAGAATGACGCTTTCTCAGACAAGTCAGAGAGAGAGAACGCTGAGGACTCAGATAAGGAGACCCAGGACCGCAGGCAGAAGGCCGAGAGCGGGAGCGAGCAGTCGGAGGCCCCGGGGCGCCCCGCGCGCAGAGGGACCACGTACGTGGCACAGGAACACGAGGACCTGGGGGAGGTGAGAGCCCGCCCTGCCTGGAGCTCGGGCGCCGCCCAGCACCCACCCCGCATCCCTGAAGCGATGGAGGCGACGCCTGGCCGTCCCCTCGGGGAGAGCCCGCAGGGTCTGCTACACCCAGAGGGCCAGGGGCACGGGAAGGCCAGGATGGCGGGACTCAGGGAGAGCCGGGAGGGCCGCGGGGCTCTGGTGAGGGTGTTGGGGGGGCCACAGGGCAGGTTCAGGTGGCGGCCTGCCAGGGTCCAGGTGAGACCTTCAGAAGGTCAAGGGGCAGAGGTGGAGCCTGGGACCCGCTAAGGAGGAGCTGTTGTCTGGACAAAGCTGACGGTGCCCTGGACCCAGGCACAGTCGGGGTGGGGAAGGGAGAAGGGGTTCAGGGCGCGTCCAGAGGCAGACGGGCAGGACCCAGCCTGACGGCGATGCCACCTGTGAGATGGGCGCTCTGGAAGAAAGAGCTGGCGGCTGGGGGTGGGACCCGACTGTGTCCCAGGCTTGGACGTGCAAGGGAGACGCTGCTGCACGGGAGGGTCTGGGGCTTAGGGGGCCGTCTGGACATAGGGCAGCCCAAGGGGCCCAGGGGCCCAGGCACCCCAGCCTTCAGAGGCTGAGCACAGACGGGGCTCTGCAGAGGAACCCTGGGAGGCGTGGCAGGGAGGGGAGGGGTGGCCTCAGGGGCAGCTGTGCTGGGAGCTGGAGGAGAGACAGGGTGACACGGGGGTGGTGGTGACCTTCACCAGGGCACTTTTGGTGGAGAGGAGGGGCAGAAGCCAGAGGGAGAGGGTTAGAGGGAGTGCGGGTGGGATGGAGGGTGCAGGGGATTCCCAGCTGCGGCAGCTGCCATGCGCGCCCTGAAGCTGGCCTGGACATCAAAGCCAGGGAGCCACAGCCTCATGGGGGTCAGACATGACCACTGCCTCTGGGGGCTTCCCCTCCCCTCGGTGCCCAGGCGAGCTGTCCAAGCGAGTGCCACTAGGCCTCCACCACAGCTGTGCAGACACAGAGAGGCAGAGTGACTGCCTGAGGTGGCCCAGCAGGGTGGTGATGGGCCCTGATGCAGGGCTGGCTGCTGGCACCCCATTCTGCTGCCTTCCTGGGGGGTCAGGGGATGGGGATCCACAGCCAAGTTTAGCCACACCCCAGGCCCGAGGCCCTGGAGCCACAGACCAGGGGGTGGGGATGGGGGTCCATGGGGAGGGGCTTGGCGTTGGCCCGGGAACTGCGGCTCGATGGCACTTCCCGAGAGTGGAGGGTCCCCGATGCACAGCCCTGCCTGGGAGCACCTGCCCCGCCAGCCAGCTGTCTTTAGACAGCTGCATGACCCTTTCTGAGATCACTCTGCCCACCTGAGGGTTTGCTGGTTGGTGTGGCCTGGGAGATGGAGCCCCCCTACCCTTCCCCCTCGCCCCCTGCCCAGACAAAGCCCAAAGCTCCGGGGCTCAGTCTCTCTGTGGCACGTGTTTGGAGACTCGGTCTCAGGGAAGAGAGGAGGGGCCCAGGGCGGCCCCCTCTAGCCGTGCGATCCTGGACAGGTGAAGACCCCCTCTGAAGGGGGTGCAGGCCTGAAGCACCTGTGTCACCCCATGAAGACAAGATGGGCTGGGGGTGGGAGGAGGTCTCCTCGAGCACGTGGCACCTGCTGCCGCGGCACAGGTCATGCAAAGTCCACAGACAGGTGTCAGCAGCCACGGTGGATGTGCACCAACTGCGGGGAGGGCCCAGGCTGGCCAGGAGCAGAGGCAGGCGGGAGCCGGCCTGGGCCAGGAGCTGCCCCTCGGGCCTGCTGGAAAATGCAGGGCTCAGGTGGGGCTGGGACAGGCCCTCTGGGTGTGGCGGCCCGGCCAGGGGGTACGCGTGGCCGCCCTACCCCCCATCCCGCCCCCTCCAGGCTCCCCGCCCAGCTCTGGCTGCAGCCTGACCGCGGTCCCTCTCGGCAGCTGGGCGAAGCATCGCAGGTAGAGACGGTGTCTGACGAGCACAAGAGTCTGATATGGGTCCTGCTGAAGCAGCTGCGGCCGGGCATGGACCTGTCCCGCGTGGTGCTGCCCACCTTCGTCCTGGAGCCCCGCTCCTTCCTCAACAAGCTCTCCGACTACTACTACCACGCCGACCTGCTCTCCAGGTAAGCGACAGGGAGGTGCCCAGAGACACACACCCCCCAGGCTCCCTCAGCCCCTGCCTGCCCCACAGAGAGTCCTAAGGGTCCCCAGGAAACTGTCCCTGAAGCCTCTGCCTCCAAGGGGCCCGGCCTCCATGGGAGGAGCTGGTGCACAGGGAGGACGGGGCAGCCCCACGTCCGGTCAGGGCCACCATCACAGGTGAGCCCAGCACCTTCTGTGCACCTGAGCCCTGGCATTGGCTCCCTCAAGCTGAAGAAGGCGGAGGTTGGAAGGAGGGCTGCAGGCCCAGCAGCCCACACAGAGGGAGCTGGGTGAGGGTGAGAGCATCCCCGGGGGCTTCCTGGAGGCGGCACCCTGCCGGCCTCGAGCCAGCAGCACCCTCTCTGCCCCAGCACTGGAGCCACCCTGACATTTTCCAGTTCCGTGGAAAACCCGATTCCCTGGAGTGTCGGGGGAGGGTGGGAAACTCCTTTCTGGGGGCTGGGCAGCTGGGGAGGGGCCTGGGTTTTCAGCAAGTGGATGGAGGTTGAAACGGAAGGAGAGAGGGCGCCGGGAAAGGGCAGAGGGCGGCCCAGGTCCCCCGATCTGGAGTGAGGGCATTCCCCCACCCCATCGCAGGGCTGCACTGGAGGAGGACGCCTACAGCCGAATCAAGCTTGTGCTGCAGTGGTACCTGTCCGGCTTCTACAAGAAGCCCAAGGTGAGAAACACCAGCCGGGGACAGCGCAACTACAGCCCAGCCCTGCGCCCTGGCACCCAACCCCGCCCAGAGTCCAAGGCCATCCCCTACCCCGCGTGACCCTGAAGGATCCTGGTCGTCCCCACAGTCGTCCCAGGTCCTCAGAGATGGGGGACCAAGCCCTGACTTCCCACCCAGGGAAGCGACTGAAATAGCAGGGCTGGAGAATTGGGGCTTTAACTTGAAAGGTCATTAGAAGCCACAGGGGGCTTTGAGTGGGCTGTGCACTGGCTTCCCCTGAGGTCCGGGGAGAGCTTGATGTGGTTAGGGTCTCACGTGCCCCTCAGAGCCAAGAAGTGGACAGGGCACCTCGTAGGCCGTCCGCCCAGAGTGTAAACCAAGGGTAAACATAGTCGCCCCAGACCAGGAGTGGGGCGCTGTTCCCAGATGCTGGTGGGAAACTAGACATCCCTTCTAGAGACCTCCTCCCTGCAGGTGCCCGGGGCTGTGGGCAGCAGGCATCCCCTCTTGTTGTCCCTCGGTCCACACCCCATCCCAACTGGCATCTGTGCCCCACCCACAGCTTCTCACACAGGCCTCTTTGTTCACTGCCTGCAGGGGATCAAGAAGCCCTACAACCCCATTCTGGGGGAGACCTTCCGCTGCTGCTGGTTCCACCCCCAGAACCACAGCCACACCTTCTACATAGCTGAGCAGGCAAGGGCCCGGCCACCCTGGGCTGGCTGCTGGGTTCTGCAGCGGACGGGGCCCTGGCAGGGGGCAGGGGGCGTCTGACCCCCAGGCACGTTTCTGGGTGGCTCCACCTTCGACCACTGGAAGAGCTCTGGCCTCACTGCTGCCAGCAGGGATTCTCCCAGGAGGCGCAGGCACCATCTCGGCTGTGACAGCAGAAAGTGTTTCCTTAGGGAGGGGGACAGCGCATCCCATTTTCCTGGGGGGATGCGGGGATGGCATTCAGCTCCCCCCCGGGCCCCAGGACTCAGGCCCGGCTTCGCTGGACGTTGGGGCTGAGAGATGGGGACTGCCCTCGCGCCTGCTCCTGGCACTGGGAGGGATGTGGTGGGGGACCGGGCCTGCCTGCTACTGGGGCTGTCGCAGGAGCCACCTCTCCACCCACAGGTGTCCCACCACCCACCCGTGTCCGCCTTCCACGTCAGCAACCGAAAGGACGGCTTCTGCATCAGTGGCAGCATCACAGCCAAGTCCCGGTTCTACGGTGAGGGGGGCTCCCCTGGGCCTCGAGGAAGTAGGGGGAGGACTGACCTGCCGCACTCGGTGGTCACCAAGACCTCCCCCAGTGGCCATGTTCGTGTCCCTCTCCGCCTCTCCTAGCCAGGGACCACGAGGGGTAAAGTGCTCAGAACCTGGGGTCAGGCAGAGCCCTCCAAAGCCCCCTCCCCCCGGCCTCTCATCCCTCAGCCGTAGAGTTTGCACTGATGCTGGGAGGGTTACGGGAAGGAGCCGCATGAAGGTGCCATCTAGAGCTGGCTGTCCAATTCAGCACCACTGGCCGCACGTGGCTATTTTAATTGACTCAAACGAAATAAAACTTAAAAGGCAGCTCCGCAGTTGCTCTGGCCGCAGTGCAAGTATCCACATGCTACATGGGATAGAACAGTTTCATCATCACAGGACGGTCTATCGGGCAGCACCCCCCGAGAGCCTGGCACCGTGGGTCTGTCTGCATTTTTCCGTCCTGTCGACCTTCCTATTGTCCTCACTGGTGGGCAGGCGCTCTGAGTGCCTTTGTGTGCCCAGCAGACTGCAGAGGGCGTACAGGCTCGGCCCACCTTCCCCACCCCTGTGCTCCCGTCACTGACTGTGGCTGTGACTCAGCCCTGAGCGGGCCGTACCCCCTCTCCGCTGGTGTTTAAAATCAGAGCAGAGGCCCTAGTTTGAAAAGGTTTGAAGCCTCCACCCTAAGAATCCCTGCTTTAGTAAGTGAAATAAACATGAACACATGGCGACTTAGGTAACTCCTCAGGATGAATGACTTGTACGACCTGGACGGGGCCTTTACAGAATCCGAGGCTCAGAGAGGTTAAGCAACCCCCCCACAGTCGCACAGCTGGAGGTGCCTGGGACTCTTTCCACCTGTTGGAAGGGAGCTCAGGTCCTGTGACTTGGGGTGGAGGTGGGGGCCCAGGTCCCGAGGATCGGTCTCGTCTCACTGGTCCCACTGCCCCGTCTCTGCAGGGAACTCACTGTCAGCTCTGCTGGACGGCAAGGCCACCCTCACCTTCCTGAACCGGGTGGAGGATTACACCCTTACCATGCCCTACGCCCACTGCAAAGGTGAGAGGCCATGGTACTCCCACCCTGGAGGGCAGAGCCCAGGCCGGCTCCCTCAGGGAGAGCACCCTGGTTCTTGTCTGGTTGAAGGTATCTTATTTGACCCTCACTCTTCCATGACTTTTTAGCTGGGTATGGAATTCCAGGCAGATTATCCTTCTGTCCTCTTTGGAAGCTTGTTACCACCTTCTAATTTCCATTGTGGTTGGTGATCAGTCATCTGTTGGCCTGTTTGTTACATGTTCTGCTTTTCTCTGTAGCTGCTTTTAAGATCGTCTCTTGTCTGTGGTTTTCTGCAATTTCACTGCAGTAGTTCAAGGTTTGGATTTCTTTTTTTTTTTCCTCTACAGTGTTGTGTTAGTGTCTGGTATACAGCAAAGCGATTCAGTTATAGGATTTCTTTTTTATTTCTTAATTAACAGACTTTCTTTTTTACAGTGCTTTTAGGTTTACAAAAATTTTAGCAGAAAGTGCAGAGTTCCATACACCCCCCCCATCCCAACACGCACACACACACACACACACACACACACACTCGGATCCCCTACTGTTAGCATCTTGTGTTGGTGTGCCACAATTGGTTCACTGATATTGACACATTATTATTAACTTGAGTCTATAGTTTACATTAGGGTTCACACTTTGTGTTGTACAATTATATGGATTTGGACAAATGCGTGTTTCTACCGTTACAGTATCACAATAGTTTCATCACCCTAAAAAATCTCTTATGGTTAGACGTGAATAGATGAATTCACCTATTCATCCCTCGCCTCTCCCCTCAACCCCTGGTAACCACTGATCTTTTAACTGTCTCCATAGTTTTGCTTTTTTTGGAATGTCATAGAGTTGGAATCTCAGGGTATGTAGCTTTTTCAAACCTGCGTCTTTGGCTAAGCAATATGCATTTAAGATTCCTCCATGCCTTTCGGTGGCTTGACAGCTCTGGATTTCTTTATTTCTTCTATTTGTAAGGGCTTTTGTTTGTTTGAACTTTTTTTTTTTTTTTTTTTTTTTTT